AAGCCCTTTGCGATTTGCTTCCTTGTTTGCTTTCAAACTTATTGCACCATGTTAGTTAATTTAAAACGACTGCAGATAGATTCTTTTTTTCATATCCAGTGTTTCTTGGCTGTCCTAAGGATTACTGTAGTCTGCAGTAATTTCCAGGAAAGCGTTGGTGAATTTACCTTGTGGGTTTGACAGTGTTTCACAGAATCACAGAATGTTAGGGGTTGGAAGGGACCTCGAAAGAGCATCCAGTCCAAGCCCCCTGCCAGAGCAGGACCACCTAGAGTAGGTCACACAGGAGCGCGTCCAAGCGGGTTTTGAATGTCTCCAGAGAAGGAGACTCCACAGCCTCTCTGGGCAGCCTGTTCCAGTGCTCTGTCACCCTCACAGTGATAAAGTTTTTCCTTATGTTACTGTGGAACCTCCCATGCTCCAGCTTGCACCCGTTGCCCCTTATCCTGTCGTTGTCCATCACTGAGAAGAGCCCGGCTCCATCCTCCTGACACTCTCCCTTTATGTATTTATGAACATTGATGAGGTCACCCCTCAGCCTCCTCTTCTCCAAGCTAAAGAGACCCAGCTCCCTCAGCCTTTCATCAGAAGGGAGATGTTCCACCCCCTTAATCATCTTTGTGGCTCTGTGCTGGACTCTTTCAAGCAGTTCCGTGTCCTTCTTGAACTGAGGGGCCCAGAACTGCAAACAATATTCCAGATGCAGTCTCTGTTGCATTTGTGTTGTGAAAAATACGGTGGTTGTGTCATGACAGGACCTTAAGGACTGAAATGAAGTTTTGGATGGTTAGGTGTATGAAGTTGTATCTGTGACTGGTGGAAATCAGCACTGAGCTCTTGAATTCAGTAACTCCAGAACGATTTTTGCTGAGGAGGTTGCTGCTCTTTCAGAGTGACTGTTTTCTTGAAAGTCTTCTAACTAACTCTGACGTATCAGATAGATGAAGAAACAACATGTGATGTGATGAAGCCTTAGACTTCTCCTCCTTCTCCAGTAGTTTTAAATGGCTTAGAGAAATCAGTGATCCTTGGTTCATTTTCCTTCTCTTTTCTTCAATTTTATTTTCTTCCCTCTTCTCTCGCCACCATTGAACAGTGACGTCTTCCTTTCTGCCCATTGGTCAGAGAAGCAGTTGGCTTTATGCTCAGCTGCAGTTGACACTTTTTCTTGCATCCATCATTACTAACTCACTAAGAAGTCTTACCAGCTGAGTGTTCTTACAAATGGACAAAAGACCTTATACCCTTTGTTCCCAAATGCACTTCAGTAATTTTTCATCACTCCAGAAAAAAGTTGTGCGTAATGTGCCACTGATTTTTAAACTGCATAAATACTGTATTTTCAATAATCCCTGACTGCTTCTCCAGACAGTATTCCACACACAGATATTGTTCCCTAAGTTACACCATCAATCAGAAACCGACAAGCAGTGAGATGTAATTTACTGAGATCAAACAGCGTTTTCCAGACTCTGAAGAAGTGTTTTTCCATAGCAAGGGGCTAGTGGGTAAAAGAGGCACCAGTATTTTTGTGAGAAACTTGAAAATGTGAGCAGGACCATGCCCATTTAATGAGCTTCTTAGAAGCATCTTCTTTTTCGTTATGCACATTCTTGGAGGAGATGATTGCTTTTACTTTTTCCACCTACAGACAAAATAATATTCTCAGGCTGTTGGCTGATGATTTACAGTCCTGTGACGTTTTTCTTCTGGTGCTTTTCACACTCCTCAGAGAGTTTGAGGTTGTTTGCCTCTTTATTGTCATCTGTACGAGTGCTGAGTTGCTCAGCAGGCTGTAAGTGTGGATCCTGTGTATTAAAGAGGATGGCTCATTCCCCAAGAGTACTGACGGCCCATGCTGCAAGTGCTGTCTCATAGAAAAGACACGGTTTTATGCATTTCTCCATCTATTGTTGGGCTGAACTTTCTGTAGAATGCCTGACTGCTTTGTTTGAAGCTTGGTGACATGTTTCTGCAGGACTAGTGTTGCTACTTGCTAAAGAGAACTCTAGTACATGCTTTAAATAAATCGTATTTTACTCCTCCCTTTTCTGTGATTTAAGTGGTAACCATGCTAGAGACTTGTTTTCTTTCTAAGAACACACGTTCATAGATTTTAGGTCCAGAAGGGAACATTAGGGTCATCTAATCTTACTTGCTATATAATGCACGCTGTAAAACTTCATCTAGTAACTCCTGCAGCTATTAATTAATTTAATTGATAATTAATAACTAATTTTTTTTATGATCTGTGTGAAGACTTATGTATTGTTAATCCAGAAATTTTGTAGGAAGGTAACTGTGCATATAGAGGAGCAACAGGTCAAAATAAAAAACTCATTTTGCAGCCAAATTTTTTAAACATTGGAAATTTGTATCTTTAACAGGAATGGTTATTAAATTCTAAAGCACAAATCTGAGATGGTCTTACAACACATGCAGACTGTTGCCCACACTTCAGTTGTAACTTCAGCTTTATAGAGGTTTTGCCAGTTCATTTATTATCTCAGTTAGTATTTCAGTTGGACTATTTCATTAATTTTGTTCTGCTAAGTTAACTGCCTGCTTAGACCAGTTATATTGAAAGGGAGGAGACATGAGCTAGCAGACCACTGATTTACACATTCTTTGTTTTTATGAATGATGCAAAGTTCTCAGGAAGCTTCTGACATTTGTACATGAGGTCACACCGTGTTACAGTGTGTTGCATATAGTAATGGGCTGACATTTTCTGAGTAGCAAAACACCATCAGTCAACCTCCTTGCAGTTTGAAGTGGTTCTAAGTAAAATAGTTTTGTTTCCAGCTAAGCACAGCTGCTGCCTTTACAGCTGAAACTGGAAAAAATGGGGAAAGAAAGAAGATAAATGAGTGACAAACGGCAAAAGGATTTTTTCATAGGGCTCTCTTAGATCACCAGGTTGTAAGTTTTATATAATAATTTCTAGGTAGGAGAGGGATTTTGTACTCTGTACTTGCAAAAGATTTTTCCTGTCCTTTTTCCTGCAAGAGCACTGAGAGGGAAAGCTGTATGAAAGGTTGTTATCAATCCTATACATGCAAAGCATACTTTAAAACATGTCTTTCTTTTGGAAGAAACCAAGCTGAGAGATCCTTGTGCAAGAAGTGGGGGAATTAGAATGGGTCACAACAGGGTGTTTCATCTCCAAAAGCCAAGTGCCTTATTCCCGTTGATTTCTGTGGGACAGTTGCTTTTTTAGTTATTTTTTTAAATGGAATTTTTCAGGATTGGATCACTGCACAGAATTGGATAGCACCTTACACTGATTTTGAATCAGCCCCTTCTGCACTTAGGTCTGTGAAATAACCTGCACAAGACCTTGGTTTGAGAGAGCAAGAAAGCACATGCTTGGATCGGGACTGGGTACCTTGTTCTGGGTCCTGTTTCCACTGAGTAGAAGTTGAGCATTCGCTTATCTGTATGGGAGTGTTTTCTAGGTTTGGGACAGTGGCATAAAAATTAAAGATTCAAATAGAAGGATGCAAAGGACAAACAGCCCTATGTTTGCAGACACCTTTGATTTTAAAGTAGTTACCTTGTCTTAAAGTTGGCATGGAACAAAACCTCCTCTTTGTTATTATTGTATGAAACGTTGAGGTAATTATTCTGTGTGTCTGTGCCTGTGGTGAAGGAGATGGCTTGCATTTAAAATGTTGCTCTGCCTGCTGAATGGGTCTGAAATTTTATTTTCCTGTCTAAGTGTCAAGATAGTTGGAAGCACAAGTAGTGAAGTACTGGAGCACTGCTGTAAATTTTGAGCATGAACATAAAGCAAGAGCCTGAAACTCCTCCCAGACACTAATAAGAAAAACTGATAGAAAGTCTTCATTTTGATACAGAAAAAGTCAAGGGTTTTGGTAAAAGAGCAAACAGCATTTTATGAAGGAGAACACTTCTGGTAAGAGGGTTTTTTTGGTCAGCAGAACAGCTTCCAACACTTTCAAAACACTTTTTCACAGTCCTTTCTAGAAATTAAACAACTGTTACCCCCAGTTTTACAGTTGTGGAAATCAAGGCAGCACAGATTTTTCCAGGGTCTGTCTTTACAGACCCACCTTTGAGTCTCTCTGCTTGGATACTGTATGGAAAACAGTGCTGAGCCATTGAAGAAGCTGGCCCAAACTGGAGCAGCTCTGTAAAGAGCCTCTTCCAGTGGTTTCACAATCAAGGGCATGTTGGAAACAGTCTCCCTACTTAAGACAAAAAGTTTCATTTTGGCAAAAGCATCACTGGGATGCAGGGAATGCCATGTGCACCAGAAACACGCATGAGAAGTCGGATGTTGCTTTCAGACTGGCTTACTGTGCACCAAAGTTATGCCCCTTTTCTGAGGTTTCCTACATACAGTATTTTCACATGAACTGTGCCCTTGAAATGTCATGTGAGATAAGAGTAACTGCAGAGCCGCAGGTAGCACCTGGCTGTAGTATCAAAGAGGTCAAGGAGTCCTGGTATGCAAAGCGTCTTTGAGACCATGTCCTTGAACCTGAACTGTTTTCTGCAAGCAT